CGTGTGCCTCCTGCCTTGCACTGGGTCCAGAATGTGGATGGTGTGTTCAAGAGGTGTGCCTTTATTTCTTTTCTTTTCCTCACCATAGACTTTCTTGCTAGCATGATTTCATTGACATGATATTCTGTGCCTTGAAGGTACATCAGGAAAAAGAAAGATATTGCTGACCAGAAGGAAAATTTGATTTGGTTTCATGCTTGGAAACAGTATATCTGGCTGAAAATAAAGTCTATAACCTTTTTTTTTATTAGGAAAATTATGGTAATTCTGAAATGAAGTGCAAACCATTTTATGTTTTCCATCTGTTCTATAGAGAGAATTGGCAAACACAGATATTAACTTTTGATAGTTCAGTAGGCTTTGGTGTGAAATTCTTGCTTCAGCTTAAGGCATTAGGGTATATATCCAAGTTGAATCATTCTCTTGTGCTTGCTTATTAAAGAAAAGCAAGCTCATTTATTTGTTTTTATTTAAAATACTTTAAAGAAAAATTTATGCATTTCATAACATTGTGAATCCACTCATTGGTTATTTATGGAAAGTGTAGTATTTTTCTTTAGACATGTGACCCTGTTCATGAGGTATTATGTACATTTAAATTCAGTGGAATAGAGAATAATTCAGAAAATCTTGTTTAAAATTAATGTTCTTACAGTCTACCTAGAGAAACAAATTCCACTAACAAAATTCTTAGTAAAGCAACTGTAGTACATTCTTTCCTTTTGGGCTCTAAAATTTTATGAGTTTTTTTCTTTGGTTGGTAATCTTCTGTCAGAACTACCTGAATACAGTAAGTCACAATGAAGAAGACATTTGCTAATTTGGGGCTTCTTGTTTTATGATCTTGCCTAAGTAGTTTTACATGTACTTATGTGGGGCCTAGAATTGTAGCAAATAGATCTTTAATAGGCTTTGTGAAGATAAAGCTCTAGTTTTTTGTTTCCTCTGATTTATCCCAGCAACTGCACCTACCATAATTTCTGCATCTCTGCTATTTCTGCCTGCCCTGGTGCATTGCTAGGAGCAAAAGGAAAGTTGAAAGTAGCAAAGGGTGATGGACTTCACTTTCTTCTGTGAACCAAGTCAGGTTAGAAGCAGGGGAGGGGCTTGCCAAGCAGTGTCCAAGTCTGAAGGTAAAGCCTCCCTTCCTGACAACCAGAAGTCTCCTAGATGTACTGTGTGCTCCACTGGTGAGAAACTCAGATGTTATTCATGAACAAAGAAGTGCTCTGCAAGAATCTACAGAGCTGGGCAATGTCCCAGAGCTTTTGGGTCCATTCCCTTCACTTCCTATGAGCCAAATGACCAGACAGAATTTATTCTCTGAGCCTCTCTTTCCTCATCTCTATAACCATAAATTTGGAGCTTATTTCTGTTTTCCCATCAAGACTGTTTCACAGCTTGATATGTCCCTAAACTGATACTCCATTTTAGATTTTCACTGCATCACCAATAAAGAGACTTAGAACCCTGAAGTTGGTGCCAACCCGAAATCAGCTGCCAAATGTTATAGTGAGGGTATTTGGAGCAACTTTCAAAAGATGGTTCAGAAGCTCAATTGTCAGCCAGATGTCACTGCCAGCCATAGAATGTCAGGCTTTGGAGGGACCCTTTATCCATCTCACACTTCTGACTGGTACAAAAATTCTGGAGAGTTTCAGCTTAAGAATAACAGTCAGGGACCAACAGACGGTGTAGTGGTTATACTGCTGGACTCCTGTGTGGCCAACCACAGTCCAAGTCCTAGAGCCGTGACTTGAAAATAATACCAGGCACAAGTGCATACATGCCCAAGATGCTGGGAGGAGAATGGAAGAGAAGAGATTACAGTGTGGCCATTCCTCCGGGGGTGGGGGTGATTTCTCACTTTCCCTCTCATTGTCTCTGTCTCTCTCTCTCTGGTGAGTACATGCACTCTAAGGCAAAAACCTCTTAAATAACAGTCAGTCCTTCCACAGAAGGAAGGAATTTTAATATTCAGAGGAATGAGTGGTCAGATAGAAAGAGGGAAGCCAAGAGGAGAAAGGTACCTGAAGAAGGGGAGAACACAAAACTGTATCCACTGTTGATCAAATTCTCCAGACGAGGTCATCATAGAAAACACAAAGAAACAAACCTCGCTCTTCATATCATATAATGTTCTTCTATGTAGTGTCCTGTAGTCATGGACATGTTGCCTAATCACTGCATTTTCTCTACCTCAAAAATGGAACTACTAATTGTGCTTCCTCACACAGTCGTGAAGATTAAAGGAAGCAATAAGTGGGAAGCATTTCGTTCTCAGACATTGCATAAGAAATAAAAGTTGTGACTAACTAGAACTCTGTGAGACTGTGACACAGCTCACTCAGATTTAGGACACTAAGAGGACTGCCTGAGTAACACAACCTCAGAGGAAGCAGTGTTAGAACCCAGTCACTATCCACATCATTAACAGAAGGAGCTGTCCACTCCTTGCAGGCTGACTTGACACCATCGAGAGGAAGAATGCAAGGTTTCATTTGGGAAGATCTTTCACCATTAAGACACTGGTGAAACTAGTGCCTGATTTCTCAACCAGCAGGGCTAGAGGGGAAAAGAAGAGGCATACGTTTTTTGTTTGGTTGGGTTTTTTTCCTCAGCATCAAAACACATAAATGGTAACAAAATAAATCTAATCTGTATAATTTTCAAAGCTGGCCAAAAGTAAAAGCCATTAGAAAATGTAAACAAGGCATACTCAGTTTGCTGGCATTCTTATATAACATGTTAATCTGCCATTCCATATGCTTTAACTTCTCTCTCCCTTCATGCTACACAAAAGTAATTGGAAAATAATTAGGGTAAAAACGATCTTGTCACTGTTGCCTAGCTTGATCTTCATTTTCCTTTTTAACATCTATAAAGACATGATAAATTTTGAAGAATTACTTCATCTCCTCCATGACATGTCTGATACAGGGTTCACTACATAACTAGAAATTTAGAGGCAGCTCTGGGGCATAATTATACTCAAATATGATATGAAGGACAGTTATTGTCAAAAGGACGAAAATAGAACACATTAATTTCTGCACGGGTGGGCATGTTTGCAAGTCTAAAAGACTCATATTTGAGTAAGGAAATAAGAACTTTTCTTATTTATACCCTCAGAATATTATATTAAATAGGTGACAATAACAACTAATAGATAAAAAGCCAATCAGAATAACTTCAACTTGGGCTTTTCATTCTCAAATAGGTTTTAGGTGCAGAAAGTTGTAGTGTGATTTTGCTTCTGTTTTTCTTGGAGAAAAAGTAAAAAATGAAGATTAGAAGAAATTTAAAAACACACAAAATACTAGAAATTAAAAGGGTGTGGTTTTGAATTGCTTGTCTGGTAACAAAGTGGAAAGTAGGCCACAATGGCAGGAACGGCATTCCATTCTTTATTTGGGTGTCACGGTCTTTTCTTCCCTTTTCATGCCTAATTGGCAAACTGGCAATGTTTTTCTAACTTAGCTTTCACAGTGGGTAAAAACACAGCTACGCTGATTCAGACATTGCAAAATAATTGAGCATTTTTTTGCCAATTTCAGCAGAAGTATTTGACATTTAAAGGTCAAATGGCAGAGCTTGATGTATAGTGACGGTAAGTTAACCACACTCCCTTCTCCACTCTGTACACATCAATTACAGACTCCTTTGCAGAAAAGAAAAATGAGCTACCTATATGTCATTTTCTTTCTCGGATTTGGAGTCTTGGGGTTTCCATACCTGTAAAATGCATGTGGCCCCTCATCTGTGGCATGTTGTATGAACTATGAATGAGCCAACATGTACCAAACCTTACATATCCTCAATTTTCCCCACACTTGCAAGAAGGAGGACCCTCCACTGAGTCTGAGGCTCTCTGGATGAACGTGACAGACAGACAGACACAAAAGCCATTTATTTGCCACCTTTCTCTGAGGGGCCCCACTTTATATATAAACTAAATCTCACATTCAAGACCTCCACGTTTTACCTGTAGATAGGACAAAGTTGGTTTATTAAATTATGTACAGGCTGTTGTACATAAAAGTTGGAGATTTCATGGTCTAAAAAATGTCGATCTCCAAGTCCTTCTTTTTTGAATTTCCACTGTTTAATTAGGCATCTGATTTACATGAACTTGCTCCTGTAGTCCAAACATAACAGCATATAATAATCATACTCTTGGATTCTTTGAGAGCTGAAGCTCACATTTGGAACTACCGAATGGTCTCTTTTGGCAGATTTTTTGGAGGGAGGGGCGGGAAAGGAGGACTCAGCCTTTCCAAAGTAAAATACTTAGAAAGAATTCAGTTAGTATAAGTTTACAGTAATCTGTTAATAACATTGAAAAAGCTTGGTTCAAATCTCTTAATAATTCATTTTTTTCTTTTTAAAGAAGGTTTAGAAATTAATGTTTCATTTAAGACAAATTTCCCAGTACTCTTACTGGAAATATGCAGGTATCTTCAACAGTTGCAAAATATATTGTATATTAGAAGATGGCTTCTTTGCGTTATTTGCTACGTGGTTTGCTTCAGTCAAAATCGAGATGATATCCACTTAAAAACATCAGTGATTTTCCTTCTTTTAAACAGGATTTCATTTCAGGTGGATCAAGGAGTGAACGTTGTGACACTGTTTCCAATTTAATAAGCAAGGGCTGCTCAGTTGATTCGATAGAATACCCATCCGTGCATGTAATAATACCAAGTGAAAATGAAATTAATACCCAGGTGACTCCAGGAGAAGTGTCAATCAAGCTGCGTCCAGGTTTGCTCATTTTCAAATAAATTTATAGTGATTCTTAATTTGAAACTGTAATTCATTTTACTTTGCTCATAGTAAATATTATGTAGTAATCAGTATTATAGAAACCACAAAGGGCCCAGGATCAAAAAAATCAAAATCTAGAGGCCACACAGTGGTACAGTGGTATGCAACTAGACCCACATAGGAAGGTCCCCAGTTCGTGGCTCAGTCCTCCCTGAGCACACAGGGCATGTGCTCATAGTCTAGGCAGTTGTGGCTTAGAATAGACCATAGAATGAAGAGCCTCCCTCCCTCCGTCTCTCTTTCTTTCTCTAAAGGAATAAACAAACTTTTAAAAATTCAGAATCCGAGAGCAGCAGGTAGCATAGTGGTTAGGGTGCTGAACTCCCACATGATAGACAGTGGTTCAAGTCCTGGACTCAGTGGCTTAAAACTCAGGCTGGGCATATGTGCATGCATGTCCAAAATCTTGAGAAAAGCCTGGAGGAGAAGGGATTATGGTGTGGCCACCCCACTCCCAGAGGATGATTTCTCACTTTCCCTCTCACTATTTCTGTCTGTCTGTCTCTCTCTGCAGCAAGCCCCTGGCAAGCACATGCATACTAAGGCAAATACCTAAAACAAAACAAAAGAAAGAAATAAACACAAAACAAAACAGTGTCTAGACTTTAGTCTTTATCATGCCTTTAGCTAAGCTGTGTGATGTCACTTTCTGCAACCTGACCATATTATATTGTAAAAAGATGTTCTGAACACATAACATCATGACATTTTGATGTGACTATGTTCCTACTCCAGTGCCAGCTCTGGAAGAAAGGGAACATGTTTTATTCCACTTTCTTTCTTCACTGCCTAGCAGAATCCTGGCATGTAATAAGTGCAGTTTTGGTTCTGGGATCCATCACAGATACTAAAATGTGTGCCTGTTCACATCCCTTATACAAAATGGTATAGTGTTTGCAGAGAACCTATGCACATCTTCCTGAATACCTAGAATCATTTCTAGACCACTTGAAATACCTAGTACAATTTTAATGCTATGTAAATACTTGTTACACTGTATTGGTTTTTTATTCATATTATTTTTGTTGTTCCCAGACTCCTTTAAGTCAGACAGTTGAATTGTAAATAAGTTACATGTGCATTACTGTTCTACGTTAGTACAGCCTGAATGGGGCAATGGCTTTGATTAAATCCATGAATAATCTTGTGCATGAACAATTTGAATGGCCCTAGATGACAGTGTTGCTGGGGATATGGACATATATAAGAAATTGGGGGTTTTATACTAGAAGCAGTCTTGGGAGAACACACACCCCTATTTTTCTAATCTATCTGATGCTACCTAATAGACTCCCTGATTACCAAAAGAACAAAGTTTGTTTCTTCTTTGGCCCTACACATACTCTCAGCTTCCAAATAAATGAGTGTTCTTCACCTTGTAAAATAATAAGTCTATCCCAGTATGGACATATATGAGCAACGCTTGCAAAAGGATACACAAAAATGCAAAAATGAAAGCAATTAGGTTGTTAAGATTCTCTGCTGCTTCCTATTTCTATATTATATATAGTAATAATATTTAATTATTATATAATATATATATTTAACATGGTTAAACAGTTCATTTTTCAAAACAAAGGTAAAGAAACTGAATGTGCTCTTGTTCATCTAATCCTATCTCAATACATTCGCTAAACTTTGTTTTTATGTATCTTCCTGTAATTATACACACATCTCACACTTGTAGTCTTCTAATGTTATGGCTGCCTAACAATCTTTAATCATTTCTTTTTTTTTTTCCAATTTTAAATAGTTTTATTTAAGACATTGCATTTTGCACTTACGATACAGTGCTTATAAAGTGCAATGTTATTTTCCCTGTACATGTGTTCCATTTTCAAGTATTGAGAATCTTTATCACAAATCGTTTTTCTAATATTCTAGATTTTTATCTCTCCATTCTTCATTTTCCTTCTATAGAAGTTTTAAAATAAGAAAATTTAAAAACACACCTCTTAGTATTTGCAGACAAATTAGGAATAATATAGTACAATGCAACGATTAAGTTTAATAAACTAGATATCTTTTTTTCTAGTACAAGAAAGTTTAACTATTTTTCTGAAGCAAATTAATTATCTTTTTTTTTTTGGAGAAGTTTTTGCTATAGGGCGCGTGAGCTCGCCAGACAGACAGAGAGAGACAGAGAGACAGAAAGTGAGAAATCACCTCCCAGGGGGGATGGCCACGCTGCAATCCCTTCTCCTCCATTCTCCTCTTGGGATCTTGGGCACACACGCACACGCGCCCGGTGTGAGTTTCAAGCCACCGGGTCTGAGACACGAACCTCAGTCGACTACGTGGGAGTCCAGCAACATAGCCATTATGCTAACTGCTGGTCCCAATCATCTTATCTCTTTTTCAAATGTGATTTGCCTCTCTGTACACATATGCCCATTTTCCTAATTGAATCCTAGTTTTCTGCAGCTTATAATACTGGGTCTTCAGAAAAGTCACATTTTTCTATGCAAAAATGTGTCATGACTTTTCCACTCACCCAATATAAACCTTCTGATAGATTATTTGCCTCTAATAAATGTGACTATATTCTTTAAAAGACCTTGCTCTTTAAATATTTGAGATTTAAAAAATATAAATTGCTTTATTTTACTGATGTTACATTTTACTTACACAGTTATATTAATTTAGCTTTTTCCCTTTTGTAGATATATGGTATCTTGATCCTTCAGAGACAATAGATTAACAGCTCAAAAGTTGGGAAATTGTCTTAGTGTTGTGGATAAGCATGATAGTGGTAATGAGGCAGGAGAAAGCTGGATGGAGTTGAGAGATAATGGGGAGGAAGAATCCACAGGAGCTGGTGGTGACTGACGGGCCATGCCAGACTCCTGGGAGCTGCTCAAGCAATTCTGTAAGGTAGGGAATGCTGTTCCCTATGGAGGAAGTGGTGTTGAATTCAACACTGGGACATCTTGAATTGAGGTAGAGATTTACCATTAGTGTGAAGTTGAAGCTTAGAGGAGAAATACAGGTTGGAGGCAGAGAGAAATGAGAGAAATCAACAGGGGATGATAGGTGGGCATGTGTGCTCACCAGAGAGACAAAGAGAGACAGAAAGTGAGAAATCACCCCCTTCCCCCAGGAGAGAAAGTCATACCACAATCCCGTCTCCTCCATTCTCCTCTTGGGATTTATGCTGGATGCATATGTACCCAGCATAAATTTTAAGCCACCAGGTCTGGGACTTGAACTATGGTAAACTACATTAGAGTCCAGCAACATAAGCATTATACCATCTGCGGGTCCCAGCTATCTTTCCAACATAACTGTGAGCTCTTTAATAGCAGAACAGTATTTAATGATCTTCAGGCAAAATGGGTATTTATTAGGTTAAACTGAAAATTAGTTCAGGGTCAGCAGATGGTATGGTGGCCAAGGTGCTGGACTCCCAAATGATTGACCACAGTTCAAATCTCTCAGGCTTGGTGGCTTTCTCGCTCTCCCCTCACCCCCCGCCCCCGGCGAAATAAAAATAAATAAATAAATAAAGTTAAATAAAATAATTCTAAATAAATAAATAAAATAAAATCAGGCCCATGCAGAGGAAGGGGCACTTCTCCTTCCCCTACTCAAGTATACCAAGTAGAAATAGGCTTCTCTTTTTTTTCTGCTACAGGTTTCCACATTTTCATGTGGTTTTCATCTTAGAAAGAATTTTTTTTTAAGTTATCTTAGTGTCCAGGCATGCCTGTTGTAGCCAACACAACAGAGATGCTCACATCATTGTTTGAGTAACCTACAAATTCATTCTAACCACTTTTAATTCTTTGGGCTATATTCAAACCAATCTCTGCCAGTGGCTGTAAGTAGGTTGTCAACTTCCCTCCAAGTCCTTTTTCTTATCCTGTCATGACTTACTTCTCCCTTTTTGAAGTTCATTGAAGAAACTATGAATCTAAGCCTTTCAAATCTCAAAAACTGTGATGATGAAGCTTTCCTAGACATCATATGAATGGCAACATGAACATTTTAAGTCCAGATGCTACTATTTTTCTCTTGGAGAAGCTCTTATGCTCTCCCTATACTGTCGAAAAGAAGTCATGGGTACTGGCCTCTTTCTGTAGTACATACAAGGGGGCTTCAAAAATTTCGTGGAAAATGTGTATTATGCAAAAGCTATGTATGGACTTCAAAAGGGTTTTGTGCTAAAATAAACCAGCACTTTGATTCTATTTTTTTCCACAAACTTTTTGAAGTACCCTTTATATATGCCTTTTAAAATGCTGTACCAAAGAATAGTTCAAGAATAACTTAGTTATAAAACATTTATGACCATCCGTGTGCCAGATGCTTCAAAGATGAAGAAACAGTTCTTACCCTAACATTGCTTATTTTTTTTTTTGGAGAAGTTTTTGCTATAGGGCGCGTGAGCTCGCCAGACAGACAGAGAGAGACAGAGAGACAGAAAGTGAGAAATCACCTCCCAGGGGGGATGGCCACGCTGCAATCCCTTCTCCTCCATTCTCCTCTTGGGATCTTGGGCACACACGCACACGCGCCCGGTGTGAGTTTCAAGCCACCGGGTCTGAGACACGAACCTCAGTCGACTACGTGGGAGTCCAGCAACATAGCCATTATGCTAACTGCTGGTCCCAATCATCTTATCTCTTTTTCAAATGTGATTTGCCTCTCTGTACACATATGCCCATTTTCCTAATTGAATCCTAGTTTTCTGCAGCTTATAATACTGGGTCTTCAGAAAAGTCACATTTTTCTATGCAAAAATGTGTCATGACTTTTCCACTCACCCAATATAAACCTTCTGATAGATTATTTGCCTCTAATAAATGTGACTATATTCTTTAAAAGACCTTGCTCTTTAAATATTTGAGATTTAAAAAATATAAATTGCTTTATTTTACTGATGTTACATTTTACTTACACAGTTATATTAATTTAGCTTTTTCCCTTTTGTAGAT